AACCTACAATCTAGGCTAATGCTCCAATACAATGCTGGGAGAGTGCTGGGTTGTTAGGGCTGTCCTTTTGATGAGAGGTTAAACCAAGATTCCAAATGCCTGTTCAGGTGGACATTAAAGATCCCAATTGAGCACAAACTATATCAAATGCAAGGATTATTATTATTATAAACATTGTCTGCTTGTAGGACATTGCTGTATGCAAATTAGCTGCCACGTTCACCTATAAATACAATCACTATACTCTCCAGAAAAAAATGCTGTAAAGCACTTTGAAATATTTTTGGCGTTATAAGGTGCTATATCACATAACCAGATAATTAATATATTGAGGATATCAGAGATCAAAACAATAAAGGCAGCCATTAAAATCTTCAGGTCCAGCATTCCACCCCCCACACACACACTCAGTTAATGCACCAATAAACACCCCTAGCCCTTTACAAGCTTATCTCTAGCAACCATTGGTAGCTGTTAAATGGGTCTCCTTATGAGGACTTGTTTCTTTATAAGTGAGTGAGTAAGCAGTAAGTAATAGTTTATCTTATCTTGCTTTCGGACACCCTTCGTGCCTGAACATCAGACTTCTGGAATTTCACATTCTTATTGCAGTCTTGGTCTTGCCCATTGTTGGCTTTTCCTTACCCCGCTGTTAGCAGCATTACACAATCTGTTAATGGTACAACAGCTGTCCCTAACAGTCATTTACAACCTCTTTCTGATGTCTACTTTGCTAAGTTTATATTGGCCTCTGGCTTCAGTCTTTCTGTTCAGAAATCCCAGCAGTTTCTGGGGCTGTGTTCCACATTGTGTCAGGATGTCTTCAGACACTACCTTACTGTTCTCTGGAACTCTACTGCAAAATCTCTTTGCCTTGTTCCTTCTATTTCCTTTCTCTTTTACTGTGACTTTGGTGAACACTCTTGAATACCTACCTGTACTCCTTCCTCCCAGCCTGCTGAGGACTCTGTGAATGGCTTTGAAATGTTCATTTTACGGGAAAGATGCTATAGAATGTTATTATCTTGTATGTGAGGACGTCATAAATTGGTTGCATGTGTGGAACCTCATATACCCATTCACATGTGACTTAATATCCTATCCTCACAAACAATCGGCTTTGATTCCTGGGTGGGGCAAAACCTTAGGCAAGTTTCATTACTCCACATGCTTCTGTTTACCTAACAATAAGTAGGTTGTTTGTCAATTTGCCAATCGCTTTCTGGGGGTTAATAATCCCTTTTTTGAAAAAAAATTTGGTCACTCAATTCACGTCTGTTTGTGGGACACTGCTATGCACAATTGGCTGTCGCGTTCGTCTACAAATGTAAAATTAATTCACTTTACAGTATATTCTGTGAAGAGCCTTGAGACGCCTCAGCGATATAATAAAAGTGCTATATCAAATGCATGGATTATTATTAAGGTACTAAGCAATGTTGTCATCTCAAATTGTTTAATCATCGGTGAGCAACTCGGGGAGGTGGGGGTGGGGTTATATAAATTAATAAATAAACTTCTGTAAGAAACAATTGTTCTGATGAATTTCTTTGGGACAGAACAAACTCAAAAGAAACAATACAGCCTCTCACTGTTCCCCATCGTCTAAAAGAATGATGAAGAAGCACTATTAACCTAAGCAAACAATCTACCCTTTCTTTTGCTAATAAACCACAGTATTCTGTGCCATCTACTCTCCTGCCTTTCCACACCCTGCCCCATGGCCCTTTGTCAGGGCTGTTTAACTTGTCCAAACAAGACAGGGGTTTAGAAACATAATCCGCCTGTTCCAGTAAAACCAAGCAACCACTTCAGCGTGTAAACGAAATAGGTGGGGAGGTAAAGCCTGCAACATTCCCGGGATATTAGCCAATTCGGTCACGCAACCACCTAGAGTTTACTCAGTCACAGAAAAGGGGAGGGGAAAAAATTCAAATCTTCCTGGTGACTCAACTCCAAACGGGGGGTTTAAGCAACAAAATTAAAGGAAAACTTTTACTAAGTGAATCACACACACAGGCCAAAATAAAAGAACAATCTGCACTTAACACTGAACGTTTCATGAAAAGAACTGAAACAGTAATGAAAAATAATAATCCTTGCATTTGATATAGTGCTTTTACATGGGGGGGTGGGGTGGTGGTGGTGGCGGGGGGAAAAGACTCTTAAAGTACTTCATAGACTATACTGTAAAGTGTAGTGACTGTGTAATTTGTAGGTAGGCATGTCCACAAATGCGAACATATCTAGTAATGCATGTAAACTGAACAATAATGGATTGAAATAAGTGGGGAGCAAGCAATAAACCAGAGTCAAAAGGGCAGAGAAGCACTTGCTATTGAATTATACGTTCTTACCAATTAAACCACAAACCATTTTCATTCCTGAGACTGGTATCGAGTTTCACTCAGCAAAAACGTTTGGCCACACAGACACAACTTCCGAGTCATCCCAAAGGAATAAAAAGCCTTTTGATTTATTTTGTCCAATTATTGTGTGAAGCTGCAAAGGGATTCACACCAATTCATGGAGCTACACTACGGTATCAGGACATCTGCCACAAAATGCACAAGTGAGCAGCACTAAAATTGGTAATTCGCTCCATGGCTGGTTGTGGGACACTGCTGTGCACAATTGGCTGCCGCGTTTCGCCCACAAATATACAGTCAATTCACTTTACAGTCTATTCTGTGAAGCGCTTTGAGACGTCTAGAAGACGTGAAAAGCGTTATATCAAATGCAAGGATTATTATTATTATTAACACGTGTATCCTTTGAAACACTTTGGGACGTACTCCTGACGTGAATGGCTCTATAACAAATGCAAAGATTATAATGATTTTATTTCAGAAAACTCAATGGCTGAGGGATTGTGAGATGGGGAAAGAAAGATCCTTCTACAAATGATTTAACCACACCGATATGCTGAAATTAATCGATTCTCTCTTGCAAGACAGCAACAGCTTTGAGACCTAGATCTGCCAGCTTCTACCCAGCTTGGGAAAGGAAAGAGAAAGTTAAAGAGCAGAAATTCTGCTTCTAAAATCTACCCAAACCATGTCACACAAATATAGTATACCTGGCCTGTGCCTGATCGAAGGAAGAATTTGATCTAATCAGCTCAATTATAAACTTTGCATCGCTTAACTGTTCCTACTTTGAGTAATATTCTTTGGCTTGCCAATGAAACTCGCACTAATTTGTTACAAACAAATGCTGCGATTAACGTATCTATGGCAAAGATATCAAGCTCAAAACGGAATGCAAAATGCATGACACCTAAGATTTTCTTCTCCATTAATCAATGAATGAAAGCAGCCAGAGAGAGAGAGAGAGAGAGGCGGGTGGGGTGGGGGGGTGGGGGGGGAGAAGAGAGAGACGAATCCACTATTTACATTCCATTGAAGGATTAGGCAGGTTTACATGTGGTATCCTGTCAGCTATCCTTTCCCACCAGAGAACCTCTGGGGACAACACTTGAGCCAACTCCCTGAGACAATACCCTCCCTTATCAGAGCAGACTGCTGTCTGGTTTCCTGTCTCAAACCCACACTTCTGCTTGGGACAAGAATATGACTGTACTAATTACAGTACTGTAGCTCACTTAACCATTTCTAGTGCACAAACTGAGTTTGCAATATTCCTGTCTGAAGCGGCGTGAATGTTAGCGGAGGCTACACATGGTAGTATTTTTCAGCTGTAAACCTTATTTGAGAAATATTTTTCTGCAACTCTTGTGCATTTGGAATATACATCCGACAGAAATCATGATCCTCTTGGTAATCCTGATAGATTAGCTAGTTGAAGCATGAATGAACTGGCCTTGGTTTCAACACACGACAACTTGTATTTATATAAACAACTTTCGCCCATAAAATACAATCACTACTTTACGGTATATTCTGTGAAGCGCTTTGAGGCGTCTCAAAGATGTGATAAGGCGTTATATCAATTGCAAGGATTATTATCCTATGGCGTCCTTCACATACGATAATGTCTCAGAAAGCTTCACAGTGGCGGGGATGACATCAAACAAAAGAGCAAACCAGGCTCGTCAAATCCAGACACACAAGTGACAGAACACAATCTGGCAAACAACAGGATTGTGTTCTTTGACCCACCCTTTTGCACAAGCAACTCCTCAGTGCCTAACCTCTTCCCCCCCCCCCCCCCATTGGTTTGAAATACTTTTGCACTTAATGACAAAGACCTCCTTTGTCCGGGCAGGTGGGCTGCCAGTCATGTGAAGCATGCCAGAACATCAGCAGCAGATGGAACGACTCAGCCCACCTCTTTATTGTTTCACTGGAGAGTCGTGTGAGAAGTATGCAAGTGCTGACTGAGTTTAAATCACGTTACACAACAGAATCCCTGACCACAATGAATAGACACAGAGCAAGACAGGCTAAATCTAACAGTACATTGGTTAGGTTTATACAGAACTAAGCCTGCGCCCATACTGACTGACAACTGGGACGCACTGTTTCACTTCGCAAAGTGCTGGATCCTTTCTGCCTTCAGGTTTGTGCAGGGTCATAGTCAAATGCACAATACAGCCTCCCACACATGAACAAAACCACAACCGTGCTCATAATCTATTATGATTAGCGAAGCTGAAGAGCTGTTATTATGCAAGTTTGCTCGTGGTTCATTCTGCAGCCTGCACTACCATGATTTAGGTGAAAGGCTGGTTTGGAGGACCGCCCCTTACCCCCATCCACGATCTGCTCACAGACAGACTGGAATCACATTGCTACTGCAGTGCTGCTCCCCCAGACTTACACAGCCTAAATCTGATATTAATATACACTTGAGCATTTGAAAGGCACAGTAGCTTTAGCCCATTAATCTTTCACCTCCAGCGCCGGGCTTTACATCAAGCCCAAACTAACAGGATGAAAGATTTCTCTTCCCGCTATCTCACTCCATGTTTACGGCTACGGCAGCCCAGTCCAGCAAGTTTTTGTAAAAAAAAGCTATTTTCTCACTGGTGAACGTACCTGGACCCTCCTCCATGTTGGATGACATCATAAATTCCATGCATGCGCAGGACGAAAAGTGGAAACCTCAGGGTTTCCAAATGGGAAAGCTCCAGCAGCACTAAAGAGCCATGCTCAAGAGTCAATGCCTCCACTTTCTGTTGCTCCCTGCTGCAATATAAAAGCAGCATTAGATGAAAGGTGCTTGGGCAGTCTCAAACCCACTTTCTATTTGGCATTGCCCACTGCAGGAAACTGCTTGTACAAAGTAAACATCGCCAATCTATCCGCCAAACTGTAAGGATCGGGATCTCACTGCGGGAAATGGAAACATTTACACCTGGTCTATAATAGGTGGGCACACTCTTCTGGGTTTCAGGGTTAAAGCACATTACTTGGGTAGCGTGAGGGAGCTCCACTCTGTACTGCTCTGCTCCTCACCAATATCCTTCAACAAGGAACACAAAACTCATCAGTCAGAATAGTTGCAGAATGCTTTTTTTTAAATTTGAGCTGATGTTTCCTTTTGTTTTGATGCAAGCAAAGCCACTCTAAACTATATAGGTGTAAAGTGACTTGCACTTACAAATGTCAAAGTGCAATTAAATGGAATTACTGTTCAATTAGTTACAACTTCCATTCAGCTAAACTGCTTCAGCTGATCAAAGCATTGTTGTCTGTGATATATTGTCTCCCCAAGGCACATATGTCTATCACATCAAATTTAAAAGATCTTCAGCAAAGATATTTCCACACTCGCTCACTGCTGAATTTCCTCTTGTAAAACAGAAGGAACATAATCTCTTTCACCATATAAAATACCCTGTTAAGAAGATAATCACAGGACACCAGCTAAACTGGTTAGTAAATGTAGATGCTTACCCAGTTAATTTACCTCGGCTGGTCTTCCCTTTCCCAGGTGACAGCTTACTCCTATAGAAAGACAGAGGAAAATACTATAATTATTCATTTCAATACAAACAGCTTTTTTTAAAAAGAAATAAAGATTTTAAAAGTAAAGTTGCATTAAGTTTTCCAAGAACTTTGAATCTCAGCATTGTAACTCACAATAACTAGATTGATCTGTGACATCTTCTTCCGTTCTCTGAAGACAAAATACACTGATTTTTATGTTAAGGTACATTAATTAGCATCGTGCTATTTTAATACTGTAATCAGTTTAAAGCGATTACAGATCATCTGTGGTGTGGAGCTTTTATCTTTCCTGACAGGACACACAGACACAGAGCGTGGTATGTGTCAACAGTCAATGTCTGCGCGGGAGGGGTTGGGCTGGGGCTGGGGCTGGGGCCAGGGCTGCAGCTCCTCTGGTCGAAAACAACCTAAACAGGAAAGAACATTGAAATAGCACTTGGAATGTATGACGCAAACCTCAGCCTTGAAACAAAGAGCAGGAAGCAGCCCTGGCTATAGCTGAGGTGGAGTGAAACCAGGGAGAGGCCTTTACACATTCTCGACAGCCTTATTTACATGGGCAGCTGGGTCGGTGGGGGCGTGTGGGCGGGGGTGGGGGTTGTTGAAATGCTACAGGCTGCTTGCCATTCGTACACTAACCGAGATCGATGCAGTTTGTTCAGTCACTGAGAAACTGAGAAGAAGTCTTTCGAAATCCAAGTTTAAACATAGGAACATAAAGGATCAGAAGAGACCATTGTCCTGGTGCTTTGGTCTTGGTCCCAGAGTAATAACAATCCTATATGACTCTCCCTACCTAATCCACCTCAATTTCTTTGTCGAAAGCTATCTAAAATTCCATCCTGTATTTACCAACACAATCTGGGTCTACTGCCTTCCCAGAAGAATGTTTTTTAACCTTTCACCACATAAGCAGATCAGCTGATCCAAAAGTATTACGCAACAGCAAGGCACAACTGCAGCAATAATAGTCCTGACGTATTAGAGGATGGCAGGAGCTATATGACACTCCTTAAAGTTTGATTCTTCTCCATAACAACGGGTTAAACTCCTGTTGCAGAAACAGAGCAAATGTCGATTGCTAGATCAGCCATAGATTGATTCCTTCATCTAACATTTACATTGTGCTGTGGACATCCATGGTAGATACAGAGTAGCTACAGTATTTTTAATAGGGTAGCAAGTTGAGTATAGAAAACTGCAAAGAGCCTACCTGAAACTTCACGCGTTGATACAACTTTAAGACTTTATACAATATTTGGATTGGGAGTGTCTGTAACTAACAGCCTGAAGTGTAAGCAGACAAAGAACCTACTCACCCAGACCGCTGGGGAACACAGATGCTGGCTCCCTCCACCAGACACATGTCCCGGCCGACTACCTCAGTACTGCTGCTGATTTGCCAAGTTATTCCCTTCTGGCTGGCAACATTAGCGTGCAATATTTTTGGCTTAAGTTCCAAAATGGCATTGCGAATACAGAGGAGATAAACCAGCAAACTAAGATCCCGTTCAGACATGGGCCTTTCTGCCTTTAAAGGGATGGGCCATTTTTCATATCAGGCTGTCTGAATTGAATCAACACATTTCCACTATACACAATGTCACCTACAGTATAAGGCGGAATCAGTCTCTGGCAGATATAATCATTCATTACTCTAACATCAATTTATAGGAATACTTATTTTATGAGACTTTTTTTTAAAGCAGGGACTAAAACATAATATTTACAAACTGGAATTGTTTCATTAATTGCAGCTTCCAGTTTACAAATCATTGATAGCGAATCCTAAATTAGCAAAGACCGTAATAAGGCCAATAAACAAAATAGCAAACATGTGGCTAGAGTTTGACTCATCCTCCTCAACTTTGTCGGCTTGGGATTCACAGTTTACCAGCCCCGAATTTCGCAATATGATATTTGTAAACTGGAAGTTACAGTTAAGGCCATGTATTTAGTTTTTAAATATTACATTTAAACCTCATTGAAAGCGTTTGGATGAAGGCTGAATGACTTTGGTGCATAAGAATTGTCAGCTGAGGTGCTGCTTTTCCTATTCATTATTAAACTCACCTTGAAATCCCTCGATGGTCTTGTCCCACCTTACCTCTGTGACCTTCTCAAACCGTATAAACCCGCCTTCACCCTCCGTTCCATGGGCACTGGCCTGCTTCACGTCCCCTGTCCTGCCTGCCCCACCATCAGTGCTTGGGCCTTTGGTATTTCTGCCTCTCACCATCTAAAATCCCCATCCTGGATTTCCTATGACTCGCCCCTTCGCTTGCCTCCTTCAAGTTCCGTCTCAAGGACTTCCTCTTTGACCTTTGGTCATCTTTCCCACCCCACCTTGGATGCAAACCCTGAACTATCCTGAACGTCTTGGGACATCATCCTATGTGAAAGGCTCTATATAAATGCAAATTTGCTGGGCTCTGCCATTAATTCAATCCTCATGGCTCTTACACTATTAATCCCACAGGTTCTATAAGAGCCCAGCTGGCAAAGTCAAAAAGCCCCGGCAAGTGTCCCACCCCCCCACCCCCAATCTTTGATTACAAATAATTCCAGTCAAGAATATCTATAATTTCTCCAAACAACAAGTGGCTGCTAGAAAAACCCTACAGTGAAATTATGGAAATTTTTGTTTTGTGCAATGTTTTCAGAATTTTACAAAGTGAAAGTGGTTTACCTGCTAAATTTACAGTGCGACATGTTGTTCTAATGTTTCACACATTTTAGGCGTTGCATCGGTCAAGTCACTACTGTTTAAAACGTGTTAATTTTACAAACATGTTGACCACCACAAAGAATGGGTGAATTTGGCAATGGTAGTACACTGGGTGTAAATTTGTGACATTTCATAACGTATTCAGTCACAATTAATACATTTATGAAAACACCACAATTTACATCCTCATGTTGGCAATAAAAAAAGGTTCAGCATTATCATATTAGGCAGTAACTGAATTAAATGATTCAATGCTGTGCACACACTGATATTCTCCGACAGTCAAATTGGTTACGGTTGCTCCATTCTTTTTAATGGGATTCACTGCTCAAGGACAAGCCTCATTCAGTCATACCCATTCACACCAGTGAAAAGCTAAGTGTTCTTAGATATGGTTCAGCACTAAACCACAAAACCTCTTTCCAAGAGAGTTAAGCATTCAGAATCTGTGAACAATAACAACAACTTACATTTATACTACGTCCTTTATGTAGGATAATATCTCGGAACGCTTCGGAGAGGTTGAGTCAGATACCAAGTTGGGAATGTGGGAGAGGGAAGTGACTAAAGGTACAGTTGAAGAGGTAGGTTTTAGGTAAGATTTAAACAGAGAGTGAGGCAGATGGGTAGAAGCAGGGAGATCCAGAGGTTACAGGTGTGGAGACTGAAGTCTCATTCACCAATGTTGGTGCGGAAGGGGTGGGGGGACATGCAGCAGGTCCAAGTTAGCCAACCAGAAGGAGCAAGCAGAGGAATGGAGTACGAGAAGATCAGCGACAGGGAGGTGCCAGAGTGTGACGTGGGAACGTCTTTCTTACAGTCACGACAGCATTGACCTGCGAAACATTTTTAAATATGTCAACAATATAGTTGCTATAGCAAAGGCAAAGATGATTAATGTGATACAGAAATATTTCATCAACAATAATAATATTAATTCTTGCATTTGGTATTTCATGTCAGGAAGCACTATACCAAATACCAGGACTTACTGTGAAGTGGATTGGCTGTGCATTTATTGATGAATGCAGTAGCCCAACTGCACATAGCAATGTCCCACAAACAACCAGAAAACAAATGAATTATTTTATTTGGGGGTGAGGGATTGTTGCGACAGGACCCGGGCAGAAACTTCCGTCTCTTTTCGAATAGTGCCTTGGGATCTTTAACATCCAACTGACCTGTAGACAGGACCTCGGTTTAACATCTCATCCAAAGGATGGTACCTCCAAAAATGCAACACATCCCTGCACTGGACTGAAGTGTCATCTTAGACTACGCGAGTTTGTGTCCCGACTGGGGCTTAAACTCACAACCTTCTGACTCAGAGGTGAGAGCCAGATAGACACACAGTTGTATTGATTCCATGGGTGAACCCTGTTACGACTTACACATGGTCTGGAATGTACCCAGTAATGTACCAGAGTTCATTATCATCATTTACATTTAGTGTGCTGTGGTCACAGTGGTACAGCGCTATGTAAATGCAAGTTGTTGTTGTTATCGTCTCACTCTGCTGACAAGCACAGGGTGGTACAAGGTGATGGGACGAGAAAACAGAATTAAAAAAAAGGAGGTGGCAGATAAGTTTTACATTTTACTGAAATAAATAGCAGAAGTAAAGGCAATGTTAAATTTTCACGTATGTATGAAATCATGCCTCCCTTTTCTCCCTTTGTTTACCTACAAATGACACAATCACTGCACTTTACAGTAAATCCTGTCAAGTCCTCCCGATGTGAAAGGCGTTACATCAAATGCAAGGATTATTGTCACCTATGTCATGTTTGCAGTTAATTCTTTCAGTTGTTTTTTCTAAACTAAATTTATTGTGTGAAACTTTCAGACGCCTCAAAGTGTCAAGGCGCGATAACAAGTGCAAAAGTTATTTATTTAAAATTCTTTGAAATCGGACACACCCTGATTGTGCCACATTCGATCATAAACTGAGCTCTCTTTCGTAAACCTTTTTCCAAATAGAAACAGTACATTATCACCAGTTAGACAATAATGATTCATGACCCTGGGACAGGACAGCTCGACTTTCTCCTTAAATGCCTCTCGGACCCAGACCTTTTTCAGCTGAATTGTACTCCTGTTGTTGAAAGGCTAATTTTCAACCCTGCAGCTGTAAACCGAGATGTGGTGCCTAACATGATGGAATAGATTCCACTTGAGATAATTTAAAGCAGTGCTGCCCCTTTTATTCCAACAGTGGATCTGTCAATTTCAGTCAGTGCAAATCTACCAAGTCGTGCTCTCTGACAATTGGGGAGGATTTGGACGCAGAACTGTTACAAGATTGATAACTGCGCCAATATGAGATTAAATTATGGGCGAAAAATCTGAATCAATACATGATTAAACCTTTGAAGTCTGAAGTGATAGTTCAGCACTCAATTTTTTTAAAAAGAGAACTATTATAGTTATAATATTACTCCTAAGAGCATGGGTTAAAGGAGCAATGTCTCCATTAATAAAAATGTCTGGCAAACATTTTTCATTTGTTTGCCAACATACAATGCAATAATATGAAATGTAACAAATGCATTGTGACAAGCTGTGTCACAGTGTTAAAGGGTGCACTCTTCACGAATCACTGTCTGGCAAACCCCAAATGTCTCAGTATATTCTGTATCAGCGAAGTGATAAGGTACTCTAATCAAATGCAAGTTTTTCTTATTGTTAAAACCCTGAATGAAAATGATGGTCGGCTGTTCTCTCTCCCAATGAGTAAGTTTGCCAAACAATTTTTCACAACTCCATTGGATCTTAAGGTGGGTTTATTCACAAGAGGATTCGTTACGACCCCCGACCTGCATGAAATTAGCTCGAGGCTTCCATTGTAATCCTAAACTGGGAAAGTCAGCAAAAATCCTAGCATTTTTTTTTGGTTGCTAAACTTTGTTAATTTAGGATTTAAGATTTTCTGGATTGTAAATCTTCCAATAAAACATCACGTCAGCAATGTCAGCAACATCACATGGATTTTTGGTTTGAAAGTATGTATATTAAACTCCGAGCACTCTATAAGGAATGTTATTACTGAACTACTTTTCCTTTAAAGCACTTAAATTGAGAGTCGTACGGTAAACAGGCAGGGCGAAACCTTAGGCAAGTTTCTTTACTCCACACTCCTAATAATAATCCCTCCAAAACAAAGAATAATAAATTGGTCATTTTCAATCCACGACTGTTTGTGGGACACTGCTGTGCGCAATTGGCTGCCGTGTTTCGCCCACAAATATACGGTCAATTCACTTTACAGTATATTCTGTGAAGCGCTTTGAGACTTCTAGAAGATGTGAAAACCTCTATATCAAATGCAAGGATTATCATTATCATAAATACCTTGGGATGTCCTTTCGACATGAAAGGCGCTCTATAAATGTAATTTTGTTGTTGTTGTTATAAACAATTTTTGCAGAAGTTACATTTGAAAAAGCATTTATGAGTGACTAATAATAATCTTTGCATTTAATACAGTGCCTCATCACGTGGAGTCTTGTAGCTCAGTGGTTAGAGCACTCGCCTTGCAAGCGAGACACCTGGGTTCAATTCCAGGCAGGGCAAAACCTTGGGCAAGTTTCCTTACTCCACACGCCTAATAATAATCCCTCCAAAACAAAACAATAATAAATTGGTTATTTCAATCCATGACTGTTTGTGGGACATTGCTGTGCACAATTGGCTGCCCCGTTTTGCCCACAAATATACAGTCAATTCACTTTACAGTTTATTCTGTGAAGTGCTTTGAGACGTCGAGAAGACGTGAAAAGCGCTATATCAAATGCAAGGATTATTATTTATTAAACGTCTCAAAGCGCTTATCAGAATATACCATAAAGTGAATTGATTGTATATTTTGTGGGCGAAACACGGCAGCCAATTGCACACAGTGGTGCCCCACAAACAGACGTGATTGAGTGACCAAATTATTATTTTTTATACAAGGGAATAACAAACACTGGTAACAGTGGAAATACCATATCAAGAGAAATACTGAACCAGTAAATTACAACAGAAACTGCTGGGAATCTTCACCTACTCAAATGCGTTATGAAAGAGAACAATGAGTGAACATTTCTGATCGGAGATTTTATTTGAGCTTATGAAGTGTTATACCTGATAATGAAGTGTCATGCCTGAATCAGTGACCCATCTTGCTCATGCAAATGCTGTAATTTTCTGATGTTATTTAAGATCACAGTGTACTTTGGGCTGACAAGTAAATATGAATCACTTTTTTTTAAAAAAAGAGAAAACATTTGCAAGTCAAATAAGTAAAGGGGAGTACTGTGCCTTTAAGAGCGTAGAGGTGTTGGCAGGCAGTATCTGCTCACACTAGCCCCACCAGAAAAACTTCACACTGTTAGCCAACTCAGCATCACCCTGAAGCTTTTGCTTTGAGTTCATTGCCTGAGGTCAAGTGGAATTACTGCAACCTGTTCAAGTAAAGGTTCCTTTCACATACAAAACGTTTCCTTAGCAAAGATCATCTAGGATCATTGCAGATTGTTCACCTGCAACCAAATACAGAGCCATTACGCTTCACAGTAAAGAAATCCTGTAAACAATATGTTAAGCCAATACATCAAAATGCAAAGATTATTATTGCGATAACGTCACCAAGCATAGGATGAAACATTTCACCTCTGATCAAATCAGGAAATCGTCGAGATTAAAATATCAAAGAGTATGTATCCAAGAATGATTGTTTCAATTTCATCTTTTTTTAAATAAAGCAAACCACATCAGTGAACCGAACTGCATTTCCTTATGTGGGTCCCTAACCCCACTCCACTGGATGTTTATATAATAATAATTCTTGCATTTGATATAGTGCTTTTCACATCTTCTAGACGTCCCAAGGCTCTTCACAGAATAGACTGTAAAGTGAATTGACTGTATATTTGTGGGCAAACGCACCAGCCAATTGTGCACAGCAGTGTCCCACAAACAGTCATGGATTGAAAATGACCAATTTATTATTGTTTTGTTGCTTGTCAAAGTCCATGAAGCACTTTGAGATGTTTCAATGTGATAAAGCACTATAGCCAATGCAATGATTATCATCTTCAACTACAACTTCACTCAGACTCCCCATATGCCTATGTAACTTTTCCGCACATCTGCCCACTATTGTCATCCACGTCACAATCCAACAGCTATCCACAAGCAACATAAAAATTTGCTCGGCGAAAGAAGACCAAGTTCCATCCAGTTTGCCTTCCACCATGCTGGAAGTGGCATGCACATATCATGTCCCAAACTATATATTGGATCTATCCTGAGGAATTATTTCCCAGCGGAAATGTACTTAATTTGTTCAGGAAAGAATAAATACTTTTTACCAGTTTGCTTTCATAACGAGAAAATTTCCAATATATTATTTAATCCTATTCTTCGTCCCGGATAGATTATTTTCATATCGCAGCCCAAACGACATTATCACTGCTGAACTATAAAATCAAACTCTTGAGGCTATTCGTGGTGGTGGGGGGGGGGGGGTCAGTGAACATCTATTTGAACAATCATTGGCTTTCTGTAAGATTCGGCACATCATATTTTTGATTCAAAAAGTTTTCCATATCGTCTTCAGCAAGTGCAGTAAACTAGCAATCTGCCAAGTAGACTGTTTAAACTTTTCCCACTGCTCTTTGTGAGGGGACTGTTACTAAGGAAAAGCAAACCACTCAAGACACCAGTGCAGTAGCAGATGAGTAAACAGTCCAGAAACTCACACATTATGCAACAGCAGTACCACAGTATACAGAATCATATGTGGGCCATTTTTGGAAAGTTAAAGGGATCAGAACATAATAATACAAAGCTCTGAGAGGAAGAGAAGGAGAAAAATGTGTAAAGCAGAGCAACAGAGAGACACACACACACAGACACACAGACAGACAGACAGACTGACACACTCAGACCTTAACTCAGAGAGAGTAAACAGAAGCAGATTGCATCTAAAGCAAAGCAGGAACAAAAACATGTTTTTTGAAACAAAATGACCAAGAATAACCCCTCATTCAACGAATTGCAACAGCAGGTCATGAAAATAGTTCAAGAGCACAGTGTGTGTGTGTGTATGTGTGTGTGTGTGTGTGTCACTGGAAACATTGTAAAATGACAGACTGCAAAATATAAACAAGTGATTTAAAAAACTTACTCTTCCCAAACTTGGCAAAACAGGGCCTTTACATTCCCCCACTGTGGCCCTTGATTTCAATTCACACTCTCTGCTTCCTCTCCTCTCCTCTCCTCTCTTTCTTTCTTTCTTTCTCTCTCTCTCTCTTTCAGAATGTAATGTGAATCTCTCTCTCTCTGAGCTCTGCCAATACCTTTTAGGATCATATGATCAGACTCATTCAGGGCGGACCCATAGTGTGGAGGGTGGAGTTGTGACCAACCCTCTGGACAACACTCCTGACTTGGCTCAGAAACCTTCCTGAGGCCATTTAGTACGACGTATAATAATAGATGGGTTATTCAGATAGAGGAACATGACAGATGCATTTCTTTGCATTCGTTATTCCATCTGAGAATGAGCCCTTCTCATTTCACAGAGGGGTTTGGATGACATACTGTAAAGAAGATTTTACAGTGGATCTGTAAAGCTGCAGAGACTGTTTATCAGGACAGAACAACATGTGTGTAGGAAGTGGGAGGCTATGAAAGTGGCCAGTCGTCTCCTTTTGTGCTTGGAAATCCTGTTTGAGCCAGATAATGCAGAGAAGCTTTAAGCCAGCAGGTTCATTGAGAGGCTATTGAGGTTTTGCAGAAACGTTAAGTTAAAAGACTGGAGCTGTTGATGGAAATCTGCCAAGATTTTTTTTTGTGCTAAGCAAGACTAGAAGATTGCCAACAGAGCAAACAGCGACTCATCAACACTGGGAACTGTAGGTTGGGTCAGTTCGGAAAGTACTGTCATCGTCAATTATGGTCAAGAAATGTAAGATTCAACAAAACACATTTTAATAATAATAATAGTCCTTGCATTTGATATCGCACTTCTTCACGTCTTCTCGATGTCTCAAAGCGCTTCACAGAATATACTGTAAAGTGAATTGACTGTATATTTTGTGGGTGAAACGCGGCAGCCAATTGCGCACAGCAATGTCCCACAAACAGTCGTGGATTGAAGTGACCAATTTTATTGTTTTTTTTCTTGAGGGATTATTATCAGGTGCATGGAGTAAGGAAACTTGCCCAAAGTTTCGCCATGCCGGGAATCCAACCCAGGTCTCTCGCTTGCAAGGCGAGTGCACTAACCACTGAGCTACTTAATATTTTAATATTAAATCATACAATATATGGATCATACATGATCATTCGAGAGGACCTGCGTTTGATTCCTGGGGGAGGGGGCGCAAAACGTTTTACTTAAACCACACGCCTCTGTTTACCTAGCAGTAAGTAGGAACCTGGGTGCTAGTCGATTGGCTTTTCCGGGGATAATAATCCCATCAGAAAAAAATGATAATAATTTGGTCATTCAATCCATGACTGTTTGTGGGACAGTGCTGTGCGCAATTGGCTGCTGTGTTTCGCCCCCAAATACACAATCAATTCACTTTACAGTATATTCTGTGGAGCGCTTTGAGACATCTCGATGTGATAAGAATGCAAGGATTATTATTATTATTTGTATTTATGGGACCTAGTTTCTTGTTGTGAATGCAGGCGCACACGTAATACAGACAAGGAAAAAAATGGAATTTCAAAGAAAGAGAATATGTGATAAGAGCACAAAATATGGGGAAAGAGCAGCAAATTGGGATTCAAGTATTTATCTCCAATGGATCAGCCAGCACCAATTTAGGCTCAATGGTCTGAATGGCTTTCTCCTACACTGCAATTTCTCTTGAGAGCCGTGTGCACAGGCAAAGAGCAGAGATGTGCAGGTTTGCTATTTGAGGATTGTTTTGTTAGCAACACATAAACAAATAAATAAACACATTTAATGTGTTAATGACTGATTAATGTACCTTTTCTTTAATGATTGTGTTGGGTTGTACATGCTGAAAGATTCTCTCTCAAATAAATGAATAGCTTGTGTACAAAATACACAGTCACTAGGCTTTCCAGTATATCCTGTGAAGTACTTTGCAACACCCTCCCAATTTGAAGGGGCTGTATCAAATGCAAGGAATATTATTATAAAATAGATTTGCTATATGTCTTTTAAAACTTTCTACCGGAGAATGATTCTTGTTGTTTTACAGGGAAGAGTCTAAATTGAATATCTCTGTATTTTAATACCCACATTGCTCAGGCTGTAAAGTGAGGTGATTTTACTGATATAAGGAAGTGAGTTTGAACATTTTCAACCCAGGTCTCATTGGGTGTGAGACCCACCACACTAAGGGACTTTGAATTCACAGATAGACTGACACTCCGATTCAGTAGTGATGAAGTGCTGCAATGTTGGAGATGCTGTACTTCGGATAAGATATTAAACTGAAGTCCCATCTGCTTGTTCAGGTGGACATTGAAGATCCCACAGCACTATTCAAAAAGAGAAGGGAGTATCTCCTGGGATCCAGGTCAACAGCTCCCAAGATAAAATTGGTTATTCACTCGTATGCCTGTGTACATACTGTCTGCCCTGTTTGCCCACAAATACAGTCACTACTTTTTAATAATAAAATCCTTGCATTTGATATAGCGCTTTTCATGTCTTCTAGACGTCTCAAAGTGCTTCACAGAATATACTGTAAAGTGAATTGACCGTATATTTGTGAGCGAAAAGCGGCAGCCAATTGTGCACATCAGTGTCCCACAAACAATCGTGGATTGAAAATGACCAATTTATTATTGTTTTGTTTTTTGGAGGGATTATTATTAGGCGTGTGGAGTAAGCAAACTTGCCCAAGGTTTCGCCCTTCCTGGAATTGAACCCAGGTGTCTCACTTGCAAGGCAAGTGCTCTAATCACTGAGCTACAGGACTCCACAACACTTCACAGTAAAATCCTGTGAGTTGAGTTTATGCATATTCTCAGGAAGTGCGCGAGGAGTATTTGTCTGCTCCTGGCTGAGTTAAAAAGAAAATACCGAGAATGCTGCAAATCTGAAATAAAAAAAAAGAAAATGCAGGGAATAAGCAGCAAGTCGATCAGCAACTGAAAGGGAGTTTTGGGTGTGACCAGTTAATTGGGTGTAACCCTACTTAGGGTACGCCACACCCGACCTGGGGCTGTGCGTGTGAGGCTGTTGCTGAGAGACACAATGTTTCATTTCCCAAGATAATGTTTAAAACATCCACTAAAAATACACAATATTTAAAAACAACTTGAAGGTACAAATGGACTAGGTTAAGTAAATTTGAGTATTTTTGAACGATGCCCAAATGATTTGTTTCGTATTCCTTTGTAGTTTTCCAGATGTTTGTCTCTTGTGATTGCAGAACCAAAAGTATTATCCAATTTGAGCTAAGTCAGTTTCAAATTATAATGAAATGATCCTTGCATTTATAATATGTATAATATATTTATAACTGCTAATATAATATCAAAACATTTCAAAGAGCTTCAGAAGGAATTTCTGTAAAGTTTAGTGACTGAGGACTTGTAGGCAAACGCACATGTTGGTGCCCGACTAACAGATGAAGTGAAGGACCAATTTTAACTGTGGTGTTGTTGGCCAGGACCTCGGGAGAAACTCCCTTCTCTTTGCAAATAGTGCCATGGGATTGTTAACGCTCACCTGAACAAGCAGGCAGAGCTTAGTTTAACGTCTCACCTGAAGGCCGTTAATGAGTCGGGGTCTGTTTTACGCTGCTCACTAAAAAGGGCAACCTTTCTGTTATGGTTTATAATCATTAATAATAGGTTAGTTTGTTCAGTGAAGTGTGACCATAACTTAAAAAATTAATCTTATTGGTTGTTTAAGACATTCGGAATGAAAGAAAATGGCTTTATTTGCTGTAGCAATTTATCCAGAAAATCTGAATTTGAATAATGATACAACTGCTAGTTACACTCTATAGTTACAGGATTATCATAATTTGACAGACTCCCTGGTGATTCATGGGCTGTCCCCCTCCCTGTTCTTAATCTGACGCCTTCAGCAATAAATCGATAAACTGCAAAGTAACTGTCAGTGTTCACTGATTGTCTGAATGTGGTTCTTGGCAAAGGTCCTGGCCCACCACACGACCCTGACAAAGCTGCACACACACCCAAAGAACTAGCAGATTGAAATAGCAGCCTCTAGCAGGATACAGAGTTGGGAGCCACAGTAGAGATGCCTTTTCAACATCGCATTTTCGAGATTGACTAATTTTATAACCCAAAACATGAAAAATGAGCTCTGCGATGCACAGAGTTTACTGCTCACCTGAATTTTATTTGTGCTGGCTCATTAGTCACTTCCTTGGAAAACCTGACACATCATACCTCGTGCGAATGTATAAATACCAAAACACTTAACACTGGTATTTTGCCATCTAATAAACAGCAACCGTGAAACAATGTCATGGATTGTTTATTGTTAAGGTAAGAACAATGAGGATATACAATAATTAATGCTTGTCATTCAGGCCAACAATTCTGTTTCTCTATGCACGTTAATTCTTCAATCCAGTGGACCTGACGCCAAAATGCACATATGTAGGCCCATACTGGGTGAGAACGGAATAGGCGTGATGACTGTTGCAGTAAAATAACCTGTTAACACACATTCCCTAGGCTGACCACTTGGGCAAGATACCAGAAAGATTCTGAAAACAAACAGCAGGGCTTTTCATCCTTTTCAGTTGTGATAATCAACACTATTATCTAATCCTTCAATTGTCATTCAAGATGTGCTCCCCTTGATCTTCTGAAGGTGCACAACAACCACAACAACAACTTGCATACAACAACAGCAAAAATTTATGGAGCACCTTTCACGTCGGGAGGACGGGAGGACATACAAAGCGCCCCTCACACGGGTAGAGTTCCAGAGTACTTTAAGCTGAACTACAGCTACATCAAGTTGTATTTGATTGTATCTCTTCAAAGCACCATCCTTAAAACTTGAGAGTGAGAATCAATGTACTACTTGACTGAAGGAAACTTTCACAGCCAAGACCAATTTTGTTATCATCTAATGTTAACATATAGGTACTTCCAGAAGGGGTCACTCTGCATTTGTTTCAATCCCCTTCCTTCCTCATGTTCGATCTCTGTCCAAGATAACTTTCCTCACCTCTGCTGCACTGCCTGACTCGCTACCCTATTTCACATCAAATGCCACCAAAACGTCATGCTCTTGTTCACCTCATCCCTAGACTTTTCAAATCAATG